ACGGCGGCGGCCTTTTCCTCGGCCGCGCCGCGTCCGCGGAGCCCGCCCTCGGCCTCAGGCCCGCGCTCCTCCGCCGCCGAGCAGCGGTCTGGGCGCCCGGCCTCCGCGCCCCGCGCCCCGCGCCGGCCCCGCACCTGCCGAGGCGAGTGGCGCAAGGAGCCCCGGGCAGCTGCCGGGCGTTCGGCTGCCCCTGCCAAGACAGCCGCTGCGGAAGCGCCTTTCGCGGCTCGGCTGGGCGCGGAAGCGCAGCCGGGGCCCTGGGCGGCCTTCCCCGCCTTGTCCTGGTGCCGCCTCCCCCCGCTCCCTCCCTCCTTCCCTCCCTCCGTCCGCAGCTCCTACACCCCCTGCCCTTGGACGGTCGTCTGCCCCCGCAGAGCTCCCCGCTCCTTCCTCTCTGCCGCCCTTGCGCTCACACGGCCTCCCGGGACGCCTGTGTGCTGCCAGCCCCCTTGCTGCCCTCATCCCCGTCTCGGGACCCCAGGCGTGACAAACCCCCCATTCTACCGCCCAAGTGTAACGCATCTTAAGTACGTGCAGTGGAAATTATGTGCGCCCCACTAACATTTCCCTTCCTCCCCGCAGAGCTTTCGATTTTCAGCTCCTTGCAACAGGGACCTCTGTTGTACAAAGCGCCACGTAAATTCCCCGTGTAAATCTCTCAGATGCGATAGGAGCACAGCGTTTGTTTTTTGTTTGCTACATTTATTATATTTGCGTTATTGGGCAGTATAAAAATGAAATGAATGAATAAATATGGGGCTATTTGTCTTGCAAGGGAAGGGGCCCAAGGCGGCTTCGGTGATCTTTCCGCTCTGTTTTGTTGGAAGGGCCCTGCTGTTGGAGCAGACCAAACCCGCTTCCTCAGGGTGGCTGGCTGGGTGCTTCTGGAAGTGGACAGGCCGGCCTTCATTGGTGGTCATCCCTGAGCACCTCTTCTGCAGAGGTGCGCTGCCCCCGAAAGTGCTCGTTCAGTCTTGTGGTCAAGAGCAATCCTTGTATTCTGGAATGTTTCTGACCTGCTTTGGTGGACTAATTTGTGGACTGATGTTCTTCAGTGGCTGTGTAAGCCAGTGGCAGCGGGTGTCTCTAAAAAGGCCTCATTTTTAAACCAGTCAGTAGAAAGCTGCTTCCTACTGTGGTCCCTCTTAGAGGTGCCCACAGAGAGGTGATTGTTCTGCAGCACTTGGGGAAGGAGATAGGTAGACTAAGAAAGGTGACCCTGTGGAGCAGCCTCTCACAGTTGTGCCCCAGTCTGACAGCGGCAGCTGGATGCTTCAGGAAGGCGCATGAGTGTGGCATGAAGTCAGCAGTCCTGCATGCCCTGAGCTGGCAGGTGGCAGCGAGGGGGGCACAGGCCCCACACATGGAAGTTCTGCATAGCTGCAGCTGTGTTGGCAGCTATGCAGTTGGCACTTGGCAGCTTTTGATAGACAGGCCTCCTGGGAGCCTGTAATCCTTTCGAAAGCCATCTAAGCCGTGATGCTATTCTGGGCCGGGAGATAAGAATACAAGAGCCTTGCTGTATCGGGCCAAGTGTAACCTTGTCCATCACCTGCTTACCTATTTCTTATAAAAATGGACGCAGCTTCTCTGAGACAGGTGGGCAGTGAAGTGGCTTATGTTAAAACTGAACCAATGCCAACATATTAAAAGATAGTAGCAATCGAAATTTACATGATAGGCATAGCAGATATTTATTTATTTATTTATTTATTTGGGTATTTTTATCCCGTTCAAAACGTTGTGGGTCTCTGGACGGCTTGCACGTCAAAATCCAATACATACATACCCAGATAATGCAAATCTAGTCATCAAGAAAATAACTTAAACTTGGGACAGATTGAAGGGCTGCTGAAATGAAAGTGTCTCTGCCTGCTTGCAGAAGGCGGCAGAAGAGAAGGTCCCTTGGGCCCGATGGGACAAGCTGCTCTGCCCTCGTGGGATGGGCCCCGGGAATGCCCTCTGTGGGGAAAGGTGATTTGGAAGGGGAAATCGACTTGGAGGTCCTCAGAATGATCAGTGCCTTTCCGTGCAGGAGCCGGTGAGGGGCTTGAGGGATCTGCCTGGGGGTTCTGTCTAAAGCACTGTTGCTGATCCAGGAACACGGTCTGCTGCAGCAGCGGCTCATGCCGCAGAGTATCATGAAAGTCTGGTGGAATGAGAAATCAGTAAGGATATTTTTTATTGTGAAAAGCCCTGAGCAGGAGCTGTTGAAATGAGAATGGGATCCATCATGTAATGAAGGACTTGGCCACTTTCTGACTTATTGCAGTGCTGACGTGTACTCGTCCCAGAAAGCGTTCTAGCGAAGGAAAATGCAGTTATGGAGGCCAGAGTGAAAACTGCCCCCTTTGGCCTCTTCCACTTGGCTGTGGGTTGGCCTCTGCGGATGCCGTAGAAGGGTGGACTGATTCAAATCGAGGCGATTTCAGGCAGCAAGAACAGACGCCTGGTTTCAACCCGGTTTCGCCTTGAATCATTCCCCCAGTTTTGCCGAGCAGCGATGCAAAGCTGCCATATGTTTATCTTCCTGCGCTGGTCCCAGCAGAGATCAGCGGAGTCCCGCAGACAGCAGACTCCTTTTGGGTGTCCGCAGGGGGGGGCGTGTCGGCCGCTCTCCCGCTGGGCAAGCCGGCTTTTCTGCGCCTGGTGGAAAGTAGGGGAAAGGTCCTGTCCACCACGCAATGTGGGCCAGAGGGCATGGCGCTCATCCAGCATGTGACTCAGCCGCACGCTGCACACCTTTGAGCTCAGACGTGGAGGTGCTTTCAGGAGGGCTTCGCCTGGCTTGGGAGATTACTCCCTCCGGGCCGGGCTTGGGGCCCTGTGGGGTGACTTGTGCTGCTCTTGTCTTGCTCCTGCAATGTAGGAATAAGTTAGCACTCGAGAGTTTCACTTCCTGAGCTTGGCTCAGGTTTCAAATGCCCAGGACTTGATGCGTGGAAAGGGCAGTTTGGGATGCGGTGCCGGATGTGTTAGAACGCACCGTGGCGCTCTGGCCCCGCAGAGTGATGCCTTCCCAAGTGGGCCCGTTGCACCTCGGCCCGAGCTCGTGCAAGATAGTTTTGAGCATAATTGTACAAAGCGACACAGAGCACTCAGACCTTCTCAGAGCCAACCAGAAACTGTACCGGGGAGCCCTCTGGGCAACGTTAAAAGGCCCCCCTGTTCGCTATCACCAGAGATGCCACTGTGGAATTCCACTTCACCAGCCTGCAGAAAGGTCCAAAAGAAAAAAAAAGTTGCCCAAATTTCTCACTATCACCTAGTTGATGAATCATCTGGATGCATGTAGATTCAGCTGTATTTGTTCAGACGATAGGAGAGCTTTGTCACCTCTTTCTAGCGAGGCACCCTCTGTGTTCCTGCACAGTGCGGCCTAGTGGTTGTGGAGTTGGGCGGGGATGAGGAAACCCGGGTTCTAGCCCCGCCCAGCCATGAGGCTCACAGGCTGGGTTTTGGCCAGTTGCTGACGCTCAGCCCAGCCTGCTTCACAGGAGTGTTGTGAGGAGAACATGGGGGGGGGGTCCTAGTGGGCACATTCGGGAATACGAAAAACTGCTCTGGGCAGCGTGAGAAAATGGCTTCCGTGGAGGATGCGGCTGGTCACATAACGTGCTTCTCTGGGAAGGGATGGTCAGAAGTGAGCTTGGAGCTGGAAGAGCGGGCCATACTCAGGCAACAGGGTAGCGGGGAGGGAGGGAGCCGTGCCAGGGGCTGGGAGCAGCGAAAACCGCACAGGGCAGAGGTGGGGAGAAAAACAGTGGGGCTGCAGGCTGGGGGAGAACAAGCAAGGTGAAGGGCTGGAAGAGGGCAGAAGCACAAGGCTAGAGATGGGGGGTGGGGGGCGGGTGGGGGGGAAGGTCTCTCTGCGGGGAGCGCCTTCCTTCTCTGCCTTCCCACCAGCAGCTGCTCTGCAGCATGGAGGAACAGGCAGGGGAGCTGAGGGCCCTTGCCGTCCTCTAGGCGTGCTTTTAGCATCCGCCTCGAAGGGGGCCGGGAGCGGGGGCTCTGGCGATGATGTTGGTTCGTCTGTTTAAAGTGTTCGTAGCCCACCCTTTACAGTGTCTCAGGTGTTGTAGGTCCTCATGGGCACCACGGTGTGAGGTGCCCAATGCACAGGGTAGATTGCCTTGGGTTCCCCACAAGAGGGCGAAAAACAGAATATTAAAGTAGCTAGCGAACAAAAAGCACTTGTATTGCGCTCAGAGTCAGCTTCAGCATGGGCAGCCGAAAGATCTCCTGGCAGAAGAACCCGTTTTGACCCATTCCAATCACCCTGGGATGACTTGCATCCATAAGTCCATGGTCATGATGGGGCTTTCTGGGGAGAGGGGCTGATTGTTTAAGTTTTCAAACTGGCATTAGAAGTCAATTAGGTGACTTTGGACCAGTCACAGACCCTCAGCCCAACCTACCTCACAGGGTTGTTGTTGTGGGGATAAGATTGAGAGCAGGGAGAGGCGAATTGTGTAAGTCACCTTGAACTCTTTTAAACAAGAAAAAGGTGGGATATAACGAATGAATGAATGAATGTTGGTCGACATGCAGAGACATGCGCTGCACGGCAAGGAACAGTCAGAAACTGCCTCTTTGCAGAAACGTGCCTCCCAAGCATTGCAGGCGGCTGTAGTCTTGAGTGAAATGGCACCTGTGCTTTTTAAAAAACCGTCCTGCTCTGTTGTGTGCAGAGCAGAAGCGCCTGAGCACTGCCTCGTGGGCCAAAGCCACGTAGCCTGTGGACTCGTGGAAGCTCAGGAATTTTGCTTTGGAGTTAGCCCTGGGGTTCTCCGGTTAGTACAAGTCTAATGCTCTCCTTGCCCGTGAATGTATATGAAGGGTCCCGCAGTGGCACAGAGGGTCTCGGCTGCGGAAAAGGCTCTCCCCACAGCACAGGTCAGCACCCCCCACACCGTGGGACGGTGGGAGCCTTTTGCTGGGGCAGTGAACGGGTGCAAGCCAGGAAGAGGACGGGGTTTAGGATTCCAGGCCTGCTCAAGCCAGGGTCAACTAGATGGTTCCCTCGGGTGATCCTGTGTGACCCTCCTGACCTGCGGAAGCCCCTCTTTGCCTGTCAGCCTGTAGCAGAACCAGACGGGCCCACAGGACCCAAACGGCTGCCTTCCTCTCTGCTCACACAGCCCTGCTTGGCTGTCTCTTCCTTGGACAGCCTCCTGGATTGACAGAGACCTCTGAGCTCAGAGCCTGCCCACTTCTCATGGGCGAAGGCGGGCCTGGCTGGCAGCCAGAGAGAAGAGCCTGCACGGCGTGGGCCGGCCAGTCACGCAGACTCGGGCGAGGAAAGCATCGCACTGTTTCTCCCGGAGGCTTAAACCGTCTGATCCATTGTCTCCCTGCCCGTGTAATTCCGGAAATCTCTTTTCTAGGTTATGCCTGCCGAAGCCTCAGCTCCTCTTCTCCTGTTCAGTGTAAGTCCACCTGCTTGTGCCTGGTGGGGGTTTGTTGAGGCAAGTGGAATCCTGCCGCAATTGAAAGAATGGGCTGAAGGGGCCAGCTTGCTTCTCTGCGTGTGTCGGGGGTGGGGGGGCAGGCTGGTTTTCCACCTTTTAGAAAGTTCACACATTATAACAGATAATGGAAGGAGGCGAGGGCGTGAGCAGTGGGCCTGCACGGTGAGTGGAGCGCTGGGCCACGACTCCCACGCAGGGCTTCCCCTGGTTCTCAGTCAGAGCTCCTACTTCTCTCCCTTCGCCAGGAGACTGAGCTCTTCCTCCTCCGAGATAAAAGCTGAGTTTTGAGCTCCTTCAAATGCTGCTCTGCGCCCGACAGAAATCGCCCTGCTGCATGTGAACAGCTGGGAGCATCCCAAGCTGCTGCCATGGGTTTGGGTTCAGCTCTGTGTCTCTTGCCTTTCTCCTCAGCCAGGACCCACGTTAACTATGACGTCAAGGGGGATGTCGCAGTCGTGCGTTTTAACTCTCCGAATTCCAAGGTAGGAGTCCCCTCTGGCTCCGGTGGGTGGCAGGCAGCTGAGACCTGGGGCTTCGCTGGGGTGACGCATGCGCCCTAGAGCCATGGAGGAAGAGGCGAAGGAGGCTGCACGGAGTGGGGAGACGGGGAATCTCGGAGCTCCAGAGCAGGGAGCGAGTGTGTCCCGCCGATGGGAGTTGTGGAGCCCCGGGCACAAGGGAGTGTCCCCCCAAAGGGGTGCAGCATCTGCCTCTGAGCGGTTGAAGGCTACCCACATGCCAGCCGCTGCTGTTCCATGTTCGCGACGCTCCTGTGAGGCAGGCCATGGCTAATCCGATTGGACGAATGTGCCAGGCGTCCTGGCCCGGGGGGATTCCGGGCCAGGACATGAGGTCCGCTCCAGGCATCAGTCATCGGACTTCGCTTGCAGGCAGAAGCATTATGTTGTGACCGACCCCGTTAAGGCCGGCCTCTGTGGCCCCCCGAGGTCTCTGTGCAGTTTATAGGGATGTCAGCTGGTAGAGGAGGGGAGCTGCGAAGGGGCTGCAGGGGACCAAGAATCGCTGGTGGGATTTCCTTTTCGAGGGCTATTAATGGTAACCTTGCGAATGGCCAGAGAGCGACTCGGACGCACTGGCAAGGCAGGCCGTGAATGTGCTGCCCGGGAGGGGCTTTTACTCGCTGCTCACTTGCTGAAACGCGGCCAGAGCAGCCCCGTTCCAGCGCTGCGGCGCAACGATCGTGCGCAGCCGATGGCACGCGCTTCCCAGCACGCCCTGCCTCCGAAGCGCATGGGGCCGGCCGCCGTTCAGGAGCAATCGGAGCCCCCGTCCACAGGCGCGTCTTGCCACCTTGCTGAGCCTCTCGCGGCGCTCCCGGGCGGGAGTGGGCGAGGGACGGTCCCTGCCCGGTGCTGAAGTGCTCCCCTGGCCCACCTCACCTTTGACGGGCCCGTGTGTGTTCCAGGTGAACACCCTCTCCAGGAAGACGAAAGAAGATTTCGCAGAAATAATGAAAGAAATATGGGGCAACGACGCCATCAAAAGCGTGGTGCTCATCTCGTCCAAGCCCGGCTGCTTCATTGCGGGGGCAGACATCAAGTGAGTTGCGTGAGCAGCACCCGCCGGGGGGGAGGCGGAACGGGCAGGGGCTTCCCACCACAGGCGTGGGCCTTGCCTGCGCGGGGAGGGGGGGGACTCGCCAAGGCTGCCGCAGCCGGTCTCCCTCCAGAGCAAGTCACCAGGTTTCCACCCTTGGCAGAAGTGAGTGTGGGGAACCAGTGGGGCCCAGGGAGTGCCTTTCGGTGCCGGTTGCAGGTGTCTTTGTGGGAGCGCCGAGGGGTTGCCCCATTGATGCTGGACGTGCACATGGTGGGCATGTCATGAGTGGAGCTGGCTGGAGCCGGGGGTCAGACTAGATGGCCTGGGAGGCCCCTCCTGACTGCTTCCATCACTAGCCTGGGCTTGGCCCTCTGGGCACTTAAGTCTGCAGCCCCCCCCCCATTTGCGCTGTGCATGCTATGGCTGAGCCTCCTCCTCTAAAGGCAGGTCCGTTTGCCTTCTCGGCCCGTGACCTGGGCTGGGGGGCAGAGGAGGAGCAGGCAGGGGCACGCGTCTGCTGCTCCCCACAGGAGAGCCCTGGAGGGCTGGTTGGGGGAGCCGCCCCTGCCCGCAGCGGGTGGCTGGTGAGGCGGTGGCTGCCTCACAGCGCCGAGGGTCGGAGCCACGCACCGCTTCCCTGGGAAACACGGAGGCCGCTCTCCTCACGGTTCTCCTTGCAAGAGCCAGCCGGAGGGTGATTCTCCCAGGGCAGAGGTGGGACCGTGTGCAGAGCGGGCATTTCGTCAGCCCGTGTCCCTTGGAAGCAACTTGTGCACCGCCTCCGAAGAGCAGGCTGAGCGCCGCGTGCGGACGCTTGTCCTAAAAAAGTGTAGACGAGCAAGAAGGCGAGTTACACCGCGCACTCCCTCGGTGCGCCAAGCAGCGTTCGCAGAGCAGCCACTGCAGCTGCCTGAAGCGGCCCGTGTCCCTTGGCAGCAGCCTAAACCATGGCTCCTCAGACTGCGGCCTGTGGGCTGGATGCGGCCCGCCATGCCCATGTATCTGGCCCACCTCAGAGGTTTTGGACTCGCTCGGAGAAAATGACCCCTGAGTGAGCCAAAAGCTCTGAGCCGGCGCAGACGTCCTCAGTGGGGAGATGGCGGCGATCGCGGTCGCGTGTGTGCAGGGAAGACGGGTGCGATCGCGGTCGTGCTCGGGGGGGGGTGAGATGGCCACGATCCCACCCACCTTCCCTGCACGACCGCGATTGCGCCCGTCTTCCCCGACCCCAGCACTATTGCAGACATTGCAGCTTTGTCCCTGGGATATGGACATGCTCTTCCCCACCTCAGCTTGGGCTTCTGCTGCAGCCCAAGTGAGCGGAGCGAGCATTTTTAAATTTTCTTTTTTTAAATTTTTAAAATTAATTTAAATTAGTTTAAATTAATTTTAATTTTAAATTTAAATTTAATTATTTTTAACGTGCAGTGCGCATAGGGATTCGTTCATATATTTTTCAGACTATAGTCTGGCCCCCCAACAGTCTGAGGGACAGTGAACTGGCCCCGTTTAAAAATGTTTGAGGACCCCTGGCCTAAACAGCTGGCCCTGGGCAGAAGTCTGTGGCCACGGAGGCGCCTCACCCTTCCGTGCCGCCCTCCCTGCAGCATGATCGAGGAGTGCCAGTCCAGCCAAGAAATCACGGAACTGTCTCGTGAGGGACAGGAGCTGCTGGCAAACTTGGAGAAGTCCCCGAAGCCCGTCGTGGCGGCCATCAGCGGTTCCTGCTTTGGGGGAGGACTCGAGGTGCGCTGACAGGTTTGCCTGGAAGGAGGGCCGGGGGAGCTTGCTGGCGGCCTGGCCGAAAAGGGCCGAGCAGGCCAGCCGGCTAGCCCACGTGGCCGGCTCAAGGACCGGGCCGGCTTCGCTCTGGTGGGGAAGGGGAAACGCCAGCAGCGGCCCGTGATGGGATCCCCCCGCGTGTGCTCCCCGGGCGGCCTCGGCAGGGGGGTGTGGGGAGACGGGTGCACGGTGCAGGACTGTGCGACCGCGGTCACGGTGCCTCCCGACTCTCCTCCGGGCAGGTGGCCCTCGCCTGCCAGTACCGAATAGCAACCAAGGAGAAGAAGACGCTGCTGGGCACGCCAGAGGTGCTGCTGGGGCTGCTGCCGGGCGCAGGCGGCACCCAGAGGCTTCCCAAGATGGTGAGTGGAGGGCGCCTGTCGCTGCTCCCCGGGGCGGGGGGGACTCTGCCTCTTTGCCTCCCCTTCCCGGCATGTGAGACCTTTTCTGCTTCAGGTGGGACTTCCTGCTGCCTTCGACATGATGCTGACCGGACGAAATATCCGTGCTGACAGAGCGAAGAAGATGGGATTGGTGGACCAGCTGGTCGATCCGCTGGGTGAGAGGGAGCCCCCCACCCGGCCGGCCTGAACGGGGGCTTCGGCCCCGATCCTCTGCTCTGTGCAGCCGTGCTTTGCAGAGCCGGCGGCATGAGTGTTCCCAGTGGTCCCTTGCTTCAGGGGGTTCATTCAGCCCACCTCCCATGGGGGTCCCTGGGAGCCCCGAGCGTTCACACGACCGGGATAATTCCCGTAACCCCCGAGAAATGCTGCCTCTGCTTGCGGTGGGTCAGGGAGGAAAACCGCTCCGGTGTGGGCTGATGCACGGTGCTGAAGGAGTCTCTCCTCGGAGGGGGAATTAACCCGGGAGCGCACATTCACAGGACCAGACGAGTGGAGTGGAAATACGGCACAGCCTGCAGGGCAGGAGCCCCCTCTCAGCCCAGAATAGCACAGATCCGCTTGGCATCGAAGCTGCTGGCTTGCGTGTGGCTTCAAGCGCCTCAAGAGGGGCTGCCCTCCTCTTGGGAAGGAACTGGGGTAGTCCGTCAGACCCCTTCCCGTCCCTAACGAGCAGGCGTTGGCCTGGGGAGGGAGAGGCCAAGGTGGCAGTGTGGCCCTGGCAGCCCCCCCTCCGGCCCCTGCGCCTTTGTGCTCCTCACACTCTTCCTCCCTCCCTCCCTTCCTCTGGGGCCGCTGGCCGGGCGGCCGTGTCCAGTTGCAGCCCTGCAACTCCAGAGCTGCGCGCACGAAGCCAGTCACCCCTGCGAGCGCACTCCCTCCTTGGCTGGGCAGGCAGCCTTCCTCCTGCGGCCCCGTCTCCTCGCGGGGAGGCTGCAGGGAAGTAACGCCTGGCAGCCGGAAGCGGGACCAAAGCTGGAGTGAGCAGTGGGGAGAGGCGAGTCAGTGTGGGTGGAGCAAGGGATAAGTGTGTTTGGGGGCTGGTCCAGGATGTGGAGGAGACTGGGGGCCGAGGCGCAAAGTGCAGTTGGTGCAAGAGGGGCCTCAAAGCAGCCCCGTTCCCGCAGAGTCTCTCCTTGCCCCCCCCCCCCCGGACTTGCCTCACGAAGCCTAGGCCCCCTCGCGCAGCTCTCTGCTGAGGTAGGGGCCTGGGCGAGGGGAGGGGGCCTTGGGAGGGAGAATGGCGGCCTCCGCGAGGCCTGCACGTTCGTGGAGCTTGCTCCTCCGCGCCGGGAAGCCAGACCCTCAAGCCGGCCAAGGCGCCGCCCCTGCAGCTGCACCTGACACCGCTGCCTCCGCAGGTCCCGGCATCAAGAGCCCCGAGGAGCGGACGCTGGAGTACCTGGAGGAAGTGGCCATCACCTTCGCCAACGGCCTCGCCAACAAGTCCATTTCGCGCAAGACGGACAAGGGGCTGATGCAGAGTGAGTGGGCGCCGTCCCGGCTGGCGAGCGCGCCCGGCCTTGGCGTGGCCCACCTGGGCCTGGGGGGGCCGCCGTGAGGGGCGCCCCCTCACCGTGGGCTGCTTGCGTTCCTCGGCAGGGCTGATGAGCTACGCCCTGAGCATCCCCTTCGTGCGGCAGCAGGTCTACAAATCGGTGGAGGGGAGAGTCCAGAAGCAGACGAAGGGGCTCTACCCCGCCCCGCTGGCCATCATTGCGGTAAGGGCCGCTCCCTCGGGCGGGCCTGGGGCAGTGGGGAGAGCGGCCAGGGGCAGGCTTCCCGTCCTGAGTGTTACTGGGGACCGCCGGTCCTGCCCCCGGGCAGGGCTTGCTCAAAATGTCCTTGGCCCCGTGGACGCTGGGTCTGCGAGAAGCAGCCGCCGCTCCTGCCGGGACCTGGCGTCCAAAACACTCCCTCTGCTTCCAGAGGCCGTTGGGAGGGGTGCCCGGTGAGGTGGGACTCCCCCCGCGCCACCTGCTTGCTCTCTGCTCCCCGGGGGCCTCAGCCCCCGTGAGCTGCGGGAGGGCACCTTCGGCGAAGGGTGCGGCACGGCCCCGTCCGCGTCGGCACTTGCCCAGGGAGCCGCGTGGCGCCCTGCAGCACACTCCGGGCCCCACAGCGGGCCTGCAGCCTGCACCCGTTTGTTCCCAGCCTCTCTCCTTGAGGTGCAAAGTATTTCTACTCTGCCCTTCAAGACGCTTCCCAAGGCAGCTCAGCCCAGGTGGCACCCACTCAAGGGTGACACCCACTCGCAGGAGCTGGCGGCCCCCTGAGAGGGACGGTTTCAGAGGGAGCCTGGCCCCCGGCTCCTTCCATCTCTGCTCACCTTTGGTTCCGCAGCAGAACCCGCATAACAGCTGGCGCCTTGAGAGCAGAGGTCTTGCGAGCGAGCGAGTGAGCGGGCACCGCCTCGCCGCTCAGGAACTCGGGCTCACGCGTGCCGGGCGCGTTTGCTTGCGCTGTTCCTGGTGTGTCGAGCGACGAGTCTTTGCTGCTGCTGCGCCGCTCAACCCCCCGTGCTGCCGGTTTCCTGCACTTGGCGGTCTTCCAGAGTGCTGGCCGTGCGCAAGGCCTCGGCAAATACGCTGGTTACTGCGCTGGAAGCCGGATTCTTTGCAACCGGGGGGCATCCTATCTCTTCACCAAGCATCCTGAAGCGAGAGGGAGCAGGGGCATCAGAACATTTTCAGTTGGCGGGGGGTCTTCCGCAGGGCTCCTCCCGATTTGGGGTTCAAGCCCTCGTCAGCTTGCAAGGCAGGGCGGTTCTCTGGCACAAGGCAACCTTCCCCAGCCTGCTTCCCGCCGGAAGCATCGAACAGCAGCTCCCATCATGCCCAGCCAGTATGGCCCATGGGAGCTGGAGTTCAGCAGAGGCTGGTCTCAGGGCTTCTCTCATGCGGAGGCCATTCCTGGCATCACTTTTGTCCCTTCAAGAAACACCGGCTGTGTTGATCTTGGCTCTGGGATGTGGATGCAAACAGGCTCCCGTGCGACAGGAGCGACCTCCTCTCTCCTGCCCAAATTAAGGCCGTGGCACCTGTGCCTTCCCAGGTGGCAGCCTGGGGGATGGGCATCCGTCCGTGGGAGGTGGGGAAGCAGGACACGCTGCCGCCGCCGGCCATCGCGCACCCGCCGTGCCTCGGGAGGGCTGTTCTGGAGCAGAACCGGCAGATGCTGCAGAGGTGCCCCCAGGCCGGGCCGTGGGTCTCCCTGCAAGGGGCCGGGCCGGGCGATCTGTTCTTGGCTGGGTTCCCAGCCACCAAGCCCCCGCATTTGGCACGAGAAGAATAAGTTTTTGAGGACTGTGCCCGAAGCGTTGAACCTCAAGACCGTGCAAGAGTGGGCTTCACAACTGCACCCTTCTGCCCCTCTGCTCTAGGTTGTGAAGACGGGCCTGGAGCAAGGCAACGAAGCCGGGTACCTCCTCGAGTCGCAGGTGAGGCCTCTTTGGCTGTCTGCTTCGAATGCTAAGGAGCTTAAGGCAGGGAGACGTCAGAGGCCCCATGCGAGGGAAGATGCCCCCTCCCTCTTGCCCCGGCGGAGCTACGGGTTTCCCCCAGTTGCCGCAACACGCACCGCAGATGGTGAAAATGTGGCCACTTAACAGGCTCGCGTATCCCTGGCCGTGTTTAAAAATACCTTTAGGCTGCTCCAGGCGGACCAAAGGACTGCCTGCCCGCTTCCCCGCAGCGGACGAAGCCTCGCGTCTCCCCCAGCAGCCCCGCCCGTGGCGCTGGATCCGACCCCGCACTCGCTCGGGGCTTTGCTTGGGGGCCTGAGCACAGCCCCCACCCACCCCGGCCGCGAACCGCGTTGGCGGCTCTTCGGGGGGTGTTCTGGGTCCCGGGGTGCAGCTCGGAGGACTGCGCTGGTCGGTCGGCGGGAGGCACGTTCAGGGCCGGGCCGGGCCGGGCCGGGCCAAGCTCAGGTGGAGAGGAGGCGCTTTGCGAAGCTTGGCTCCAGGCGGGGCTCGGGGGTGCAGAGCGCAGCGTGTCTCGTGGAAGAGGGAGCCGGGCGCCCAGAGGTGCTTCTGTGGCCCGGGGGGGGCGAGAAGGGCCATGGCTGGCGGCCCCGGGGCTGCGGGGGGAGCGGGGAGCCGGCGTGGTGGTGGCAGGGAGAGGCCGCTGCCGCGGGGTGCGGGGCAGCGGTGGCACCCGGCATCCCGTGCGGCTCCGGGCTGGGTCTCCCCCCGGGCCGTGGGTGGGAGCCGTGGGGCTCAGTGGTCCTGCACTGCCCCTCGGCGGGCCACTCCCCCAGCTGCGTGGAAAGCAGGGGCCCCAGGGAGGGTGTTCCGGCCACCCCCGGGGGCCCGAGCCGCGTCTCCCCGGCTCCGCGCGTTGCCTCCGTCGGGCCCCTGTGCTTGGCTGCCTTGCCTCGGTCACTGCGTTGCGCCGGACAGACCTGTCTTCCCGGCCCGTCGCCTCCAGAGCCGGGCAGGGAGCGGGTGACGGGGAAGCGTCGCTTCCTGCCCAAGCCACGTCTCCGTCAGCCTCCAGTCTCTCCGGTGGTGCTTCTCCGCGTGGCCCCCATGGGGAGTCCTGCTGATGTTTGCGTCTGTGCCGTCCGCAGAGCACTCACCGCTTAGACTTCCCGGCTGAGCCCCAAGCAACCCGCGTCCCCCAGCCCGGTGCTTGGCTTACCCGGCGTTCACGCGCTGCCCACCCGGGTTTGGAGGCCCGGGCTGGGTCGGCATCGCCCCACCTCCCCTTGTTCTGCCAGGGAAGCCCTGCTGAGCCCGGCAGCGCAGAGCTGGGCTGTGCCAGGTGCTCCTGGAGGGCCTTTCCGGCCCCAGGATTCTTTGGTTCCGGATCTGGTCCTCTACAGAATTTGGCCGCTAATTACCTCTGCATTTCACACGCCCTTGCAAAATACTTCAATAAGGTGGCATTCAAATTTGTTGAAGTTTGCAGATTTCCAAATAGTTTGGGAATGAGCAGCCACCTTGTCCCGGTGAGGGCGCCCCCAGATGTCTCTGCCCTGGGCACTGCCCCCCACGCCTTGCGTCGAGGTGTGCGCTTTGGGGCTCCGTGGTTTGGGGGGGGCACAGGCCGATCGGCCATGCCGCTGCCTCCTCTGCAAGCTTTTAGCGTCTGTCGGCCATGGGGCGGGCAGCTCCACGGGGCCCACACACTTTTCCTCGCTTGCACCGCAGCGCTGTGACCTCTGAACAAGCCCCCTCTTCCCCCTCCTTTCCTTGCAGAAATTTGGGGAGCTCGGGATGACCCCTGAATCCAAGGCCCTGATCGGGCTCTACCACGGGCAGGTGCAGTGCAAGAAGAACAAGTTTGGGGAGCCGAAGCAGCCCGTCCGGTAAGCGCGGCTGCCGGACCGGCCCCCCCACTCCCCCTCCGCCGTGGCCGCAGGACGCGCTCTGCCTGCAGATGCCGGAGCTGGAGGGGAAGACGTGCCGGGGGCGTCGCGGGCGATTCAGGGCGGGCTGCACTCCTTCACAGGGCAGTCGGACCACAGAACTTGCTCCCACCAGACGTCGCCCCCCGGGTGGCCCCCGAAGAGGCCTGGAGAAGCCCACGGGGCGGCGGGGGGGGCAGCCTGGGGCCCAGGCGCAGCTGCCTCGCGCTCCCCTCGCGTGCAGACGCCCGCCTGACCTGGGTTCGCTCTCCGCAGGCACCTCGCCATCCTGGGCGCAGGCCTGATGGGCGCGGGGATTGCCCAGGTCTCCGTGGACAAAGGCATCACAACCGTCCTGAAGGACACCACCCTGGAGGGGCTGAACCGGGGGCAGCAGCAGGTCTACAAAGGGTGAGCCCCCCCGCAGCCAGCGGGGGCCCGAGCCAGAGCCCGCTGAGCGAGTCGGGGCAGCGTTCCGGGCGAGGGGGGTCCGGCCGGGGCTGGGGTGGGCTCGAGCGGCTCCCAGGGCAGCTGCTCGCTTGGCCTGGGCCTGGAGAACGGCGCCGGCGCTGCCCCTGCTCGAGGGAGCGCCACCCTGCCGGGGGGCAGAGGCACAGCTGCCGGTGGGGCGTCTTTCCAGGGCTCGGGCGTTTTGGCCTTGCGGAGGCCAGAGCCCGCTGGCACCGTGGGCGGGGGGCTGTGTACACGCCTCACGGGGGCGTCTCGGTCCCAGAGGGAAGACCAGTTCCCCCTCCCTCGCCGTTAACCCCGGGGTCTGCAGCCGCATGCGTGCCTTGGCCGGGCTCCTGGAAGCTGGGCTCCGAGCACACGCCCCGGCCCACAGCAGCCCCTGGCTCGGGCTCCTTTGGGCGGCGTGAGCAACCACGGCGTGTGTTTCTAGCGTGGCCTTCCAAGAGCAGCCGTGCAACATAAAATTGGCGCTTCAAGCCAAGCGAGCTACCATGCGGTGAAACACCACGCAGAGCTTTAAAGAAGCTGGTGCCGCGCAACGCTTAAGCGCTCCGGTGCCTTGGTGGCCACCTGGGGCCGAGCAGGCGCGTCCCCCCCGAGGCAGAGGCGCCTGCGGGCTCGGCTGGGCTCTGCTCCGCTCTCACGCCCTGCCTGCCGTTTCCCAGCTTGAACGACAAGGTCAAGAAGAAGAGCTTGACCTCGTTCGAGAGGGACTCGATCATGAGCAACCTGACGGGGCAGCTGGACTACAAGGACTTCCGGAAGGCGGACATGGTGGTGGAGGCCGTCTTCGAGGACCTCGGCGTCAAGCACAGAGTGCTGAAGGAGGTGGAGGAGGTACGGCGGGCGCAAGTGGGCGGGGCGCCGTCTCCCCGTCCGGCACCTGCCCCTTTGCCGCAGGAGCAGGACGCGTGGGGCCCAGCCGCGTGTGGGGCGCCCCCCGGGCCCAGCCGTCCTGCCGAGAGGCGTGGCGTGCAGCCGCCGGGGGTGGTGCGCCAGCCCTCTGGCCGGCCTGCGGTCGGCACGGCGAGCGCTTCCCCTGCCGCAGGGGCCCTCCGGCCGTCCTGGGCCCGAGCCGCCCCAGCCGGGGGTCCGCGCGCCGTGGCGACTGCGGCCACCGCGACTCCCACCAGTGTCGCCCGTGGGGGGGGGCTCCTGGGTTCAAAATGTCTGGAGCATTTGGGCTGGGAAGGCGCCCTGGGCCACTGGCAGCGGGGCTGTCGAGCGGCTGCTGTGGGACACGCGCTCCTGCGTGGCCGGCTTCTGTCGGCAGGCGTGGCGCTTGACGCCAGGCGGTGGTGGGGGCGCGATGTGGGGGGCAAACCACGGCAAAGCCCCTGGGCTGCGCAGGAGCCGGCCAAGGCAGGCTCCTCCCTCCTTTCGGACGCGTGGGCCCGCCGGGAGCGCGAGAGACTCCCGGCACCGCTGCGGAGCGCCCGGTTGGTGGGTCGTGCCTCGGCGTCTCCCGGGGGCTCCTTTGGGTCCTGGCTTCCACTGGCTCGGCAGCGGGAGGAGACGCGTGGGGTGCAGCCAGGCGCTTCCTGGCGGGCCGTGCGTGATCGAGGGAGGGGGACCCCTTTGCACTGCCTCGCAGCCGCCGTGTGGCGGTGTGCTGCTTCCCCCGCAGGCAGGGAGCCATTTCTTGGACGGGGAGGCGAGGCTGTTGTCGGCCTGCTGTGCCAAACCCGGGCCGGGAAATTCCCTGCGCCTCGCCCTGCGCCGGTCAGAGCCCCTCTGGGGCAGATTCGGCAGCGGGCAGATCCCCCGGCCGACTGGAGCGCCCGCCGTGGCGACAGGGCCTCCCGCCACTCGGATTGCTGGCTGTGCCCTGCTGCGCAGCTGCGTGGAGCCGGTGCCCTGGCTCGGCGTGCCCTCCGCCCCTGGTCCTGCGATGGCGCGGCTGCGGTGCTGCAGATCCCGCGCCCCCCCATGAATCCCGCCCCCGGGAAGCATGGGGGGGCCTCGCTCCAGGATGACGCCCGCGCTCGCCTCCGCAGCTGGTCCCTCCGCACTGCGTCTTCGCCAGCAACACGTCCGCTCTGCCCATCAGTCAGATCGCTGCCGTCAGCAAAAGGCCGGAGAAGGTGAGTCCCGGGGCTGCCGAGCTCTTCCCTGGCCCCGGTCCCGTTGGAGCGCGCGTGCGGCACCCCCGCCCCCATGAAGAGCTTTGGCTCTGGGGTGGCGCAGGATGGATAGAGCTCCTCCTCCCTCCGGGGAAGAAGGGCTTCCTCCGGCTGCTGGGGGGGTGGTCCTCTTCCTGTGCTCTTTCTTGCCCTCCCCACCCCTCCCTCAAGGGCCGGGGGTCCTTGCCAGATTTGCAGATGACAGAAAAGTGAGTGGCCTAGAAGGAAATGGCTAGATCGTGGGTCCTCAAACTATGGCCCATGGGCCGAATCCGGCCCACCATGCCCATTTATCCGGCCCACCATAGAGGTTTTGGACTCGCTGCCTGCCTACTCGCAAGGCGATCGTTTTGGACTCTCTCGGAGAAAGCCGTCTCCTTGCGAGCAAGCTGGCACCTTGCCATGAGTGTGCCCAGTGGCAGCTTGTTCGCAAGGAGATCGTTTTCTCCAAGCGAGTCCAAAATGAGCTCCTTGTGAGCAAGCCTTTTGGACTCGCTCGGCGAAAACGATCTCAGTGCATGCCCGCCCCAGCGCACACCCCCCGCCCACACGGCCTTGACGGCCCGTGCCCTTCGCCAGCACCTTTCAACCGGCCCCCTTTTCAAAAAAGCCGGCAGAAAATACCCGTGTGCAAATCAACGGTCATCGCGGGGGAGTTCTTTGTTTCGGAAAGAGCCTGGGGGCGCCGGACTGGGTGGGGAGCCATCGCTTGCAATGCTGCGTGAGGAAAGGACGCGGGCGTGGAGTGGCTCACCAGCCAAATCCGCCAGCCCTCGAGCGTGACTTTCGGGGGTATCGACGGACGTGCCGTTCCCGATCTGAAGGAGCCGCAGTTCCGACGGGCTCCGTCCCGGTCAGGTCTCGCCTCGGCACTGTGTCTGGTTCGCGCTGTTCAGCGGGAGCCGGTTTGGGAAGCCCAGTCCTCCGGGCAGGATGGAAGGCACGGGCCGCTCAGCCTCGCGAAGAGAAGCCTGTGGCGGAGCCCCTCAAGGGCGGTCGAGCTTGCAGCCTCAGGAAGAGCGGCTGGATGATGGAGCCCAGGGAGGCTGGGGGCTCTCTGTCTCCGGATGTATTCCGGGAGAAACTTGAACAGCCCGTCAAGGATGCTTGAACCCAGGTTCCGGCTCAGGGCCAGGCATCGGAGTCAGGGGCAAGAGGTGCCCTGCCGCCCCGTGGGCTCCGAGAAGGGAAACGCAGCCCTGCCCCTTGCTCCAGCACTGCGGGTGGGAAGCAGGTCTTCCTTAGCAGATCAAAAAGCGGCGCCTCCGGCTGCAGTCGTTCAGCTGGGAGATAAACTGGTACTAGCATGAGTTGGCGAGGGGGGAGTTTGGGGGCCCGTTCTGGTCCAGCAGCAGTGGCCAAAGGGACACGTGGCGCGTCTGGCGATGAGGGAAAAGCCGCGCTTGTGAAATGCCCGGCTGTCTTGGGCACACATTGAGCAATGCACAGACTTCCTGGTTTTTGTGTGCCGCCTTCCTGATTTGCGGGGGGTTTCGGCATGCGGAGGGACCCCTCCTGTGTGTGTGTGTGTGGGGGGAGGGTATTGTATCTGCCTGCGGTGGCATGTGGTCAGGGTGGCCTTAGAGGACTGCCTCCTCGTCCGTCAGGCCACACTGCCCTTGCAGTCGGCTCTGCCGGGGTGGTGGAACGGAGAGGCCGTTCTGTGCCCCTCGGCTGTGGGGGTCCCGCCGAGGCACCTTCCAAGCAGGCCCAGCTGCTAGTGCAACCAGAGGGGCCAGACGGCCTCAGGCCGGGGCCCCCCACTGCGGCCTCGCTCCCGGAGGGGGCGCTTCGGTCCCGGCCGGGCCTTCGCTCCCGGCCAGGTGAGAGGTCTGAGCCGAGCCCCCGTGTGCTGCTGCCCCCTGCAGGTGATCGGGATGCACTACTTCTCCCCGGTGGACAAGATGCAGCTGCTGGAGATCATCACCACCGACAAGACGTCCCCAGACACGGCCGCCTCCGCCGTGGCCCTCGGCCTGCGACAGGGGAAGGTCATCGTCGTGGTGAAGGTGGGGCACGGCGTCCTTCTCTGCGGGCTCCCGGGCGGGTGGCCGCCGTCCTCAGGTGGGCAGCGGGGCTGTTGGTGCGCATGCGGGGCTGCCCGGGCTGCTCGTGGGGGGCTGCCGCAGCTGCCGGGAGTGCCCCCCGGGCGAGGCGGAATGGGCGCCCCGCTTGGGCTGCCCGCAGCGCAGAATCCCGAGCCAGGCCTGCTGTCAGGACGGCAGCCGTGGCTCGTCTCGGATCCCAGGCCAGCCCCGGCTGGGCCCCGCCACCCACCGCTGGCCTTCCGAGGCGTCTGCCCGAGCGTCCTGGCTGACCGTGCAGGAGGGCGAGCAGCCTCCCGGGTGAGGCGGCAGGGACTCTCCGTGCCCCTCCCTCTGCTCTTGGACCCAGGGAGCTGATAGGTGGGGGGCTTGGGGGGGCAAGAGGAGGCCCATCGGGCAGCGTGGAGTTGGATGACGGAACTGGCTGCCGCGGGAAGTGGGCATGGCCACCAGCCGGGTTGGCGACAGGAGGGGATTGGAGAGAGCCCTGGGGGGGCCCTTGCCGGACGCGGGCTCCCTCCTTCCCCAGAGGCGGTCCGCCTGCACGCGCCAGCGGCTGAGGGGCTGGGCAGGCGGCGGCCTTGCGCCCGTCCTGCTGGAGGGGTCCTGCGGGCAGCTGGGTTGCCTGGAGCGGCAGTCCTTGGGTCCGGCAGCGGGGCTGTTGCTGTCCTCGTGCTCTTCCGGCCGCGGCGCCTCGGCCACAGAGTTCTGCTTCCTCCTCCGCAGGATGGCCCGGGCTTCTACACCACCCGCTGTCTTGCGCCCATGCTGGCTGAGATCATCCGCGTCCTCCAGGTGGGTGCCGCTGGGCGATGGCGGGGCTCCCGAGGGTGTTCCGGGCGGTCCCACCGGGCTGCTGGGGTCGGGGCGCCTTCACCCCTGCGGTTTGCGCCACTCCCGGCCTGCTGCAGCGGCTGCTGCGCCTCCTCCTCCTCCTCCTCCTCCTCCGCCCAGACCCCTCGGTCTCCAGCGCGTCCCCTGCAGAAGCTCCAGGCTGAGTGAGTGAGAGCGGTTCTCCCGGCCGGCACCTGCTCGGCGCTGCTCCATGCAGTGTGGCCGAGCCCTGCCGCTCCGCTTGGAGGGCGAGATGCTTTGCGGCGGGGCAGGCGCCCCCCCCCTTCGCCCCAAGGAACTCGTTCCCTCCCTCGCAGCCCCCTGCGCCGGCCCTCCAGGGCTCGCCCGGAGGCACTGCGCCCCCGGCTTCCGGCTGCCCCCTCAGCCACCCCTTCCACCCCCGCGGGGGGCGCCTGCTCTCCTGCTCAGGCCTTCCGCCCCGGGAGGGGCTCTGGGCAGCAGCTGAGGGCGGCTCCCCCTTCCCTCGCAGGAAGGCTTCGATCCCAAGAAGGTGGACGCCCTCTCCACGGGCTTCGGCTTCCCCGTTGGGGCCGCCACGCTGATCGATGAAGTGGGTGTGGACGTGGCCACGCACGTGGCCGAGGATCTCGGCAAGGCCTTTGGCGAGCGCTTCCGGGGCGGGAGCGTGGAGCTGCTGAAGGCCATGGTGGCCAAGGGCTTCCTTGGTGAGTGTCGCGGAGCCCGGCGCGGCACCCGCCTTTCCCTCTCGGGCCCTCCGGGGACCACGAGGCCCCCCCGGCGTGTGCCGTGGAGCGGAGGAGGAAGGGGCGGGCGCCACGTCCAAGCTGGTCTTCCGTGTGGCGGGCGGCACGGGGGGAAGCCCCACGGCCCACCCTGCCCACAGTCGCTCCACCTTGTGTGGAGAGCCGCGTGGCACAGGCCACGGGTGTGCAAGGCCGTGTGAAAGCGACGAAGTGTGCCAGTCTCAGCGTGGGCTGCACGTGGCGGCCCAGGGGCAGGTGCTCCCTCCAGACCTGGCACATCCGTGGCCGGGGGCACCCCTTGCGGGAACGGGGCCGTGTGGAGAGGCAGGCGCCGCGGCCCGGGGCCCGAAGGGGCTGTTTCTGTGGGCCGGCAGCCCCGCCTGCCCTCTCCCTCTCCAGGCCACATCGGGGTTGGACTGCGCCTTCCGTTCTTTCAGTCATTCATTCATGCAAAGCCATTTTTATCCCGCCCTTCACTACGCCTCTCAAGGACCAGAACATTTTGTTAATACTTTTCTCTCTCTGATTGTTTGCGTACTTTGCCGTGAGCTGCCCGGAGAGCTCGGTACGGGCGGTGGGGAACTGCAATGAGGGCCTGCGTGGACGATGTGCCGGGCGGTGCGGGCCTCTCCGGGAACCTCCCGGCCGCTGCCGCCCTTGCTCGGGCAGCCACCTGTTCCCACAGCGCCCTCTGCCAGCACCGAGGCGGCTGACTAGCTGCGGGCCTGGCCTGGGGAGGGGGCGCGGCTCCTGGACCCCCTGCAGGCGTGGCGTGGGGTGCCACCTGGGCCCAGAGGCCCCTTTCTCCTTCAAGCGCCCTCCGGCTGTGGTGGCCAGGCCTGCCTGCCACACAGCCGCCCCCCCGGCCCGAGTCTCTTGCCAGGCCAGTGCTGAAAACGGCCGTGGCCCCCGTGGCCTGCGTGCAGGAGGGTTCCTGCTCCTGCGTGGGGCTTTTGGCGCAATGGCTGCCCACGCCCCCGGTTCAGGTCTCAGGGGCCCTGCTAAGCAGAACCCGCCTGTGGCCCCGGCGCTCAGCCCCTTTTCTTCCACGGCAGGCCGGAAAGCTGGGAAGGGCTTCTACCTGTACCAGGAGGGGGTGAAGAACCGGAACGTGAACGCCGGCATGGATGAGATCCTGGAGAGGTTCCAAGTGGGGGCCAAGCCCGAGGTGTAAGTGAGAGGGCGGGGGGCCTCGCGGGCCGCCTGCCTCCCCACGTGCGGGCGGCCCCTCCCTCCGAGCCCCTGGCCGGGCAGGGGCTCACGGGCGGCTGCTCTCTCTTGGCAGCTGCTCGGAGGAGGACGTCCAGATGCGCTTGGTGTCGCGGTTCGTGAACGAGGCAGCCCTGACCCTGCAGGATGGCATCCTCAGCAACCCCGTGGAGGGGGACATCGGGGCCGTGTTTGGCCTGGGCTTCCCGCCATGCCTGGGAGGTGAGCTGCTCCTCCCGGCTTTTCCTTGGTTCCTTCACCGGCAGCCGTGTGGGGCCTCCAGGAAGAATAGGGGCAGCCCTCTTAGCGACCCGTGACTGGTGCATTAACGGGGCAGCCCGATTAGTAATGGGGTCTGGACAGTTGGAGCCCAGCACCCCAATTCTGGACAGCTTGCGTCGGCCTCCGAGCCCAACTCTCAGTGCTGGTTTTCACCTGTCAGGCCCTGCATGGCCCGGGACCGCCTTTCGGTACCAGCTCTGGCCCTAGGCTAAGGCTGGGCCCACGGGATTCCTCCAGAATGGCAGAGGCGGGTCCATATAAGCAAGGATTCAGGGACGCATCTTGGGGCAGAATGTCTTGACCCCAAGTACGTGCCGACGGGATCCCAGGGAGCAGCGCCTGATTGAGGAAGGGGTCTTGGGTTGTGGTGGGCAGCTCGAGGAAGCCGCGGCCCGCTGCCCAGCTGCTGGGAGGGGAACGCGTCTTTAAGCTGCCAGAGGGGCCGGGGCGCCCCCCACCCTGCTTGCGGCATCCCCTGGGCTGCTGGCGCGGCTGTCCCGGCAGGCTGGGGCCAGCGGCCGCTTTAAGGAAACAGCCAAACCCGCCGGCATCCTTTGAGGGGATGGGGCAGCTGCAGTCTCACGGGGCCAGCTCATCCCACAAAAGGGTGGCGGCCGCGGCAGAGGCATTCCTGCGCTCCCCCCGGGGCTCGCCCTGTCTCAGCCGCGGCCCTTCCAGCAACACCCGGACCTCACTGTGCGTTGGGGGGGGGGATCAGGGGGGGGGGGGGGGGGGAAGGTGGGCCTCCTTGCCCCGTCGGCGGGGTGCCTCACCCGGCCGGCGGCCCCCAGGAGCGCCCAGTCCCCGAGCGTGCAGAGGCCAGGGCAGCTGTGTGCGCCGCGTGTCGCCGCTGGGGGCCGAGCCCGGGAAGGGCTGTGGGGTCGGCCCCTGCTGCCCGGGGGGCCCGCCTCTGCGCCTCACCGCCCCCTGCCCTTGTTCCGGCAGGTCCCTTCCGCTACGCCGACTCCTACGGGGCCCAGCGGCTGGTGGACCGCATGCGGAAGTACGAGGATGTCTACGGGAGCCCCTTCACGCCTTGCCAGCTGCTGATCGACCATGCCAAAGACTCCAGCAGGCGGTTCCACAAGTGAGCTCGCCTGCAGCACCGCCCAGCGGCTGGGCAGAGGGCGCCCTGGGGGGCCGCCGTGCCTGTGGGGTGGGGCCCGGCCCCAGCCCTCCAAGTGCCTTCCCCGCTCGGGCACTGCCTCTCCTTGGCCCGGCCCTCGCCAGGCGGACGCGGCCCTCCCTGCAGCGGGCAACGGGACCGGCTTGTCCCCGGGGCCAGCAGCAGCCTCAGGAGCGCGGCTGTTTCCGGCCCAGCTGGCCTGCAGCACTGACTCGCCATAAAGCCCCGTGTCTCGCCTTGTTCTGTGGCTTGTCTCGTGTGCGTTTCTTTCCGGGCCGGGAGGCACTCCGGACGCTCTGCCTGGGGCAACGCCACGGGATTCCCGGTTCCTCTGCTGGGGGAAGGTCTGCCGGTCTCCGAAGGCCAGTGCGCCTCCTCGAGGGCTCTGGTAGCGGCCGTCATAAAGCGCTTGCTGGAGCCTCCGGCAGATCTCCAGTGGGGCGGTGTGAACTGCGCCAGGGCCCCGTGGTTACTTTCTGTGGGGGGGCACCCCCGGCCCCGCACGCGCTGCTCTCCGACCAGAAGGTGCGTCGTGCCGGCGCGAAGAAGGGGGCCCCGGGCAAGGGACGCCACGGATCCTGCCTGGCTGTCTTGGGAGAGGTCCCTTCACGCAGGGGTTGGGCACCGGCCACGCCAGGGCCCCGTGGCACCGACACCAAGGCAGGCAGTTCGCGGGGAAGCCTCTGCCCGGCCCGCGAGTCGTGGCGGCCGAGCGGAGCAGGAATGCATCCACGAGGGGAAATGGCTCGGGTCAAGAAAGCTGGGGAAATCGGCACGAGTGGGGCAGGCGGGGGTCACAAAAGCCGTCGCGCGGCGTCACCCCAGGGGTCTCGTCCGGCCCCCCGTCCGCACGCGGGCCACGCATCGGCCTCGTGCTCGTCTTGCTCAGCAGCTGTGCAGAAGCAGCCCGATCTGGCCTGGTCCAGCGCCACCGGGCCCGGGCGCCACCGCTAGTTCAATCTTCTGCACGTTCTGTGCTTGCAGGCGTGTCTGAACACCAGGCCCACGGATAGCGTGGTTCCACTATCGCGTTCACGTCCACGAGAGGCGCGCGTTCATCGGCCTTCTATACCGCTCAACAGCCAAAGCTCCCTGCGTGGGTCACAGCAGCGCATTTAAAATACACCAGGTTAAAAGCATATCAAAACAAGTTCGCAAAATTAAAACCAGTAACCACCAGATGAAAAGGCACGCTCAGAAAGCCGGCCGGGCCCCGGCAGAGTACTTGAGCGCCCTGCGGAAGAGGACGGCGTTTGCTGGCACCAGAACGAGAGCGCCATTGGTGCTGGGCACCCCTCAGCAGGGAGTTGTGTGACCCGACGGACTGACCCCCTGCCAGCAAGCAGCCTTGAAGGGCAGCCCCATAGAAAGTGCATCGCGGTAGCCTAGAGATTACCAGTGTGTGGATTACCGGGAGCGGGCTGCCTTTGTCCAGGTAGGGGTGTAGCCTCAGGTGACAGACGGCTCAGGGAGAACCCCAGGCCACAAGCCTGTGCCTTCAAGGGGAGCACCTGCCAGTTGGTTAGAAGCCTTGTCTGGAGGGAGCGTCGTCGTGGCCGGTCACCGGTTTGGTGCATCCACCGCCTCGCATGCTAAGGCTGATGGCAACGCGCTGCAAAGCGCAGGTGACCCCACTCAGCAGCCTCATGCAGGTGTTACGTAACTTGGGGGACAAGGCCAGCCTGAGGAAGCCCGTGCCGGAGGGCCCATGGGGCTGAGCGCATCCCCGATGCACCACCCTCTGGGCTGGCCAGCCATGTAGGTGTGGCCCCACTGCAGTCGCCCCAGGAGGACCCCCCGGCTGAGGCACCCCAGGCCCCTGGGGGGTCCGGGAGAACCAATGGGGTCGCCCTCACCTGCCCCTTTCCCAGCGGGCGCAGGTCACCTTGCAGGCCGGCCGAGGCCGTTTCCAGGCCAAACCAGCCTGAGCCCGGCTGAAGTGGGTCTCCCGAGCGCGCCTGGAGCTGGCCGGCCACCCCCCACCCGCTCACGCGCCTGGCCCGGGGGGGGTTGCCCCCTGCCAAATTCCGGAGCCCCTCTGGGTCTGGGGGGGCTTCCTCCCGAGAGGCCTCGCCCCCCCCCTCCAGGCAGCATGCGACCACCTCCTGGCCAGGAGGCGCTCCTCACCCACCTGGCCCAGCGAGCCCCCCCCCATTGATTCGCTGGGGGGCACGCACCCAGTGCGGGCGGGTAGCACGACCCGGTCCGAGCACCTTGCCCATCTCCTCGGGCTGCTCCAGCTGAAGCTCAACACCGCTAGACAAGACGGCTCTGGAGAGCTGGCAGGGACGGCCCCAGATTTGGAACATGCCAAAAGGGGGCCAGAGGAAAGCCCCCCGTGCCTGCCCATCCCAGTGACCGGCTGGGCACAGTGCGAACTGGGTGCTGGCCGAGGCCTGATCCAGCACGGCACTGATGTTCTGGCCCACCTCGGGGCTCCTCGAGGGTGCCTGACCTACTCGGGGAAACACTCCTGGACGGCAGCAGCGACTCCGTTCTTTGGACGGCTCTCCTTCCCTGGTCCCTGGCACATGTGCCCCCCCGACACCCCTCCCCCCCCCACAGCCTGGAATTGCCTTCCCGAACAGGACAGGAGACGCTTGGGTTCGTTTAAATAAAATGGGTTTATTGGACTATGGCAGTGATTAAAGCAAAAACAACTATAAATACTTTGCAGTCCTCTAGGACTGAACCGAGCATCTCCCTCCTGTGCTAAAAAGGGGAAAGAAATGAAAACTTAGGAAGTAAGTTGGTGGCTCGGCTGGGAAGGGCAGCTGCTGACCTGGCATGGGATGTCAAGGGGAGGAAGATTAGTGAGAAACCTACGGCTGTAAGGATGGGGATTGAGAGAGAGCCACCAATTGTGCTAAACTGCAGCTAGAGTAAGTGCCCCCGTCCCAGCGGCGAGGTGAAAACCCTCGTGGAAGTCTGTGTAGCCCCCGCATCGCTCCACAGGCAGGTGGGGGCCGAGACCGGAGGCGGAGGCCTGGCGGGCGCATCTTCTGGCACCTCCTTGCGGTGAAGCTGCTGCTCCCCGGCCGTCGGGGGATTGCGCGTTCGGTGCGAGGGCCAGCCCGAGTAGCGGCGGTGCTAGTCGGCCCCCCCATCAAACGGAAACGGATGTGCGGGGCGACCCAAGCCCTTCGTTTACCACGATGCCTCCACGCAGGCAGGGCGCCCTTCCCACACGTCCTTTGGGGAGCTGCTCCGTGGGGAGGGTCGGGGCCCCAGAATACCAGGGCAGAGGATGCCGCGAGGGGGCAGCCCATCACGGAGGGGCTGCGTCTCCTCTCACAAATGCTGGCCAGGAAGGCGGAACTGCACCCCGGAAGCGGGGCCCTGCCTGCCTTCCAAGGTCCCGCTCACATGGATGGATGCGCAGCCATCGTGGGCGCCGGCGGGAAAGAGTGGCAGTGGCGCCCAGGAGGCAGCGGGTGCACCAGCGCCTCCGGAGAGCCGGTTTCCCACTGGGTGGGGATCTGTCCGGGAGGACCGTGCCGGTCCTGGGATTCCCGGGCCCGTTGCTTCAGGGCTGCTTTCGCATCCCCCTCTCCCCCCACAGCAAGTGTGCGGCGCCGTGGGGCCACAAGCCTACCGAGCCCAGGCAACCGGAGGCCCTCTGGCCCGGGGACACGGCTGGAGGAACTGCCCTGCCCCTCCGGGCGCTGCGGATGGTGCCCCCGCTGCCCGCAGGAAGGGCCCGCTAGACTTTGGGCCGCCAGCCCTTGATGAACTGCATGATCTTCTTGACCTGGAGCTTTGTGAGGCGGAAGTCCTCGGACAGGATCTCCTCCGTGAGCTGCACGAAGATGCTGCCGTCGATGCGCTCGCGGGCAAAGAAGCTGACCACGTCCTCGGAGAGGCCGATGAAGCGCAGGCAGCGCGACACCCCCTCCAGGGAGAGTGCCGACAGGTCCGCCGGGGGCTGCCAGGGCGAGCCGTCCCCGTTGAGCCGCGCGGGGGGCACCTTGATCACGCCCTGGGCCAGGTAGAGGCGTGCGACGCCCCCCTCGGCGCCGTGCAGCAGGGCGGGCGGGTGCGGGGCCACGGCCGCCTGGAGCAGCCGGCTCTCGGCGGGGGCGAAGGCTGGGGCCGCGCGGGGCGGGGGGGCCGGGCTGTAGTGCAGCTCTGTCTCCGGAAAGGGGGCGCCTTCTAAGAGGTCAAAGGCCTCTGAGGGGGGGGGCTGCAGGTTTCTGCCACTCGCGGGGTTCCAGCCAGTCCGTGGAGCCAGGGGAGGCCGGGCCGGGGGAGCAGGCTGGGCTGGAGAAGGGGTTCAGGGCCCCGAAGGGGGCGAAGCGCTTCTGGGCGGGCGGCGGCGGCTTCAGGCGGGGGCAGCTGTGGTAGCCCTTGATGGCGCCGGCCTCACGGCCCCCCAGCAGCGGTGTGGAGCGGCCCGCTGCCACGCTCGGGCCCAGGTCGCTGTAGGCCCACGGATCGGACCACGAGGCCAGGTGCGGAGGCTGCGGCGGCGCGGGGGGGTTGGCCGGCTGCTGGCTGGAGGACTCCCCCGCCTTGCAGTCCCCCCACGCGCAGGGGTAGCAGTAGAGGGGGTCCGGCGACGGGGAGGAGCTGCTGCTCTGGGGCCTCGACCTGCGGGGAGAGCACAAGGGGCCGGGGCCGCGGTCAGGCGGAAGTCAAAGGTGCACGGGCCTGGACGACTCCCAGGCATGCGGTGCAAGGCATGTGTGCCTCCGAGCGCCTACAGAACTCCTCCCCATGACACGACTGGCCACCGCAGGGCCCCCCAGCCCCCACCACAGCACCGCCTTCCCGCTGCGCCCCACTCACGCGTCGTGCAGCCCCGGCGAGTAGTAGGACAAGCTGGAGCTGGGCGAGGCCGCGGCCTGCAGCCTGGAGGAGCGCTCGGGCACAGGCGGGCTGGGGGTGCCCGGGCCAGGACCCCCCCGTGGCGGCAGCGGGGGGGCCACCAGGAGGCGGCATTCCTCCCTCACCTGGAAGAGAGGGGAGGGGTCATGCTGTGGTGAGGCCGATGGTGGGGGGGCCTCCCCCTGCCAGCGGTCAGAGAAGCCCCCCACACAGCCACGTGTGCAGCGTGGGGTCAAGCGGGACCCAGGCCGCCCCTGCCTTGGCCGGGCCCTGACAGAGCGATGGCAGGAGCAAGGGGGGTGGCTCGGCTCGACGGCTCCTCCAGCGGGGCCCGCACAGAGAGACTCCAGCGGGCGTGGGGGGCCCTGGCCCTGGGCGGCCTCCGTGCCCGGGGCCGCCGAGCCATCCAGCGGTCAGCATGACCAGTGGGACGCCATGCCTCCAGGGCCCCGCCGCCGCGCCTGCTGCAGCAGCAACGGGGAGGGCGCGGGGAGGGCAGCGGCCTGGGGGGCCGCCAAGGACGCCGTGGGGCAGCGTGGCCCCGGCCCACGGGCAGCGGCAGCCCACCTGGGCGGGCGGCCCCGGGCGCAGGAGAAGCAGGAGCGGCGAGGGCGGCTGATCCGGGCAGCTCATCCCAGAAGCCGGGCGGCCCCGTATCCCGGCGGCCCAGGGCCCTCCCCACCCCGCCCCGGCCATGCAGCGGCGCAGCAGCGGCCGCGCTCGCCCCCGCCCGCCCCCCCGGCGCGCCGGCTCCCTTACCGCTTCCGACTTGGGCGGCACCGGCGGCGGGGCGCCCCCCGCGGACTCCTCCCTCGGCGGGGCGCGGCTGCGGGCGGGG